TTTGTGCAGTAAATCAAGAAACAAAACAGTATGAAATTATAGGATGCAGAGAGGCAATAGCCCGAATCTATATATTGGAACAGTATCTGTAAAATGAACACAGGGCATTACATCTGAACAAATGTGAGAAGGAAAAATAAACTAGTCTGAGCTATGGCTATTGACTTGTAAAACAACTTAGTTTTTCAGAGAAGTAAAAGGATAAAAACAACCACTCCCATTTGGTTAGATGAAAACCAATGGGATAATGATAAAACTGAAACCGTTTTTATATTCAGTCCCTTACAATTAAAATAATACACTGAGTGGCCACGTCTCTTGCAGGGCATATATTCTTCTTTAGCTTCAGTAAGGGGCACAAAGATAATGTGTTTGAACATCTTCTGTATTTTTATTTTGCAATTCATGGATGCTTTATTAATCAACGCAAGATGCATTCATTGAGCTGGATTAATCCTGCATAAGTAATTTTGAAATTTCCTTTTTTTTTCATTTCTGTTAACAAATAATTTATTTGGATTTTCATATATCAGGATCACAGAGATTTGCCACAGTCAGATTTTAATTTTAGTTACATCTGAGTTGGCTTATATATGAGGGCACAGAGTTTTGCATGACAACCTCTTCTAAAATCTGTAATTGGTGTGGAACACTGACATGCACAGAATAAATCTGACAAGGTCCAGGGAGCTGGGTTCAGTTTCACTGATCAACATCTATGCTGCAGATTAACTGAATCTTTTATGGCATTACAAGCGCTCTAGAATTCATTAATGTAGCTTCCCCTCCCACTAACCACCCTGACCTCCAATACAACTAAAGCTTCTTAGTTGTTATGAATTTTACACCTGGAACAAAACACAAAAAGCAAAATATTCTGTTCTTGTATCACTGGCACATACACAAAAATATATCCCAGCATTTTTAACAGCTAAATGTTTAAAACTAAAAAAATGCAGCAGAACAAAGTTTGAGTCTAGTGGCACCTTTAAGACTAACAAAGTTTTATTGAAGGTATAGATTGAATAGCAGATTGGAATGTATTTCTCTGGTCTGGGGACAGGGGAAATAACTCTATGCAGCCAATCGCCCCACTTCAAAGAAGAAGATGCTGTAAAGTTGCCTCCATGCTTGAGAGGAGACAGATGGAGAGTATTGGGAGGGTCTCAGGTAATTACTCTCAACATTCCACAGTCAAGGATATGTCTGCTCAGCAATATCCAATTATGACATTTATTTCCTTCACTATGCCCCCCCTACATTAAACCCAAACAACTGGTACGCTGGTAAACTAAGCTTGTTATTCCTGTTTGGTCCTTGAATCTGTTAAACATCTTAATCATGTGTAGGGGGACAGCCAGTTTGGTGTAGTGGTTAGGAGTGCAGACTCTAATCTGGGAGAACCATGCTTGATTTCCTACTTCCACATGCAGCTGCTGGTGTGTTCTTTCAGAGCTGTTCTCTCATGAGCAGTTCTCAAAAGAGCTCTCTCAGCCCCACCTACCTCACAGGGTATCTGTTGTGGGGAGGGGAAGGGAAAGGAGATTATAAACTGCTCTGAGACTCCTCCAGGTAGTGAAGGGTGGGGAGCAATCCAATCTCTTATTTTTATATGCTGCTCACCCTCTACCTATATGTATGGACTGTTAACTTCCATTTCATTGGATCTGAAGAAGTGTGCATGCACATGAATGCTTATATCTTGAATAAAACCTCATTGGTCTTAAAGGTTCAACTGGATTCAAACTTTGTTCTAAAAATGCAGTTATAATGCTACTTTTACGTGTTGCATTTCTTTCCTCTGGCTCTGCAGTGTCAGTTACAAGGAAAATCCTTTAAGGGCTTCTTAAATCATGATGGGTATTCACAGTTCAAAATATCTGCATTCTTTTTTTGCATGCATAGGTCTCAATAGTCATTTAGGCTGACCTGTATCTCAAGAGCAGAAAGATGCTCTTGGATAACTTGCATTTCTACACGTAAATATGATGATGAGAACTTTGCAGAATGTAATGTTGGGTGTTTAACACACACTTTTTATAAGCAGAGATGTTAGACAGTTGTATTAGTACATAAGGTTTTATTTAAAGTTCCCTCCCCCTACAAGCAAGCTTCATTTACACATTCTAATACTGTACATAATTTACATGATTGGCAACTTTTATGGTTTTCATAGTCATGCCTTTCAGAAAGTTAGAAAGATTTACATATAATCCTCATAAATGCTTTAAATTATTGTTGTTGTTGTTTAAAAAAAACCCATAAATGGACAAGAAACCACCAACCCCTCCCATTAAAGTGGCATTTTAACAGTGGCATGAGACAATGTTCAGTGGCAGACATTATCCTGGTTTTAAATGCCATGAAAAGTTCTCTCATTTAATGTTAGTAACAGGCTTCCTTTTCATATATTTATATACACATATATATTTCTAAACAAAACTCCCAAGTTATGATTGCACAAAATATTATTTTACAAAGAATTCCTTGGATCTGGACAACACAAATAGATACAAAACTAACCAATATTGCACTACATAGAAAAAAAATGGGTTGAGATTCCAGGACAAACACTTCCATTTCAGGAACTCTTTAGCAGGATTTTCACTATATTAATTCTTTTTAGTGCGCAGCTCTCTCAGCAATTCATTTGCTACATATGGAGAGTGAATCTCTTCTAGTTTTATGCAAATAACAATAATGGACAACAAAGACATACAATCTTAATTCTCCATTATCTCTGTCACTTTCTTAGAAGCCTAACAGTGTCATCCTAAGTAGAATTGTACCTTCCTATGCCCACTGACTTCAATGGACTTAGAACAGTGTCGTTCTACTTAGGATGCTCCTGTAAGTCTAACAATATCCTACCAATTGTTTTCTTTGGCCAACTATGATTTGTGCCTTCTGTTTATTTTTACTGTAGCAGAAGCCAACATTTGGTGTCTCTTTGCTTCTTACCCTATGCATCATAATTACTGCAATCTGCATGTATAGATTTGGGTTAGGTGGGCATGATTCTGTACTGCTTTGAGGTGACATTAATACTTTTGCACAAATTAGATACGATACGATCTGGTACAACTGTGTACAAGTTTCTGCTTGCACTATTTCAACAAGCCAGTCCATAAGAACAAAAGCAACTAATCATCTGTGTCTAAATAAGCTTTGTTGAAATTATGTCCCTTTGTTTATTTCTAAGCAAATACAGTTATGATCAAAGTCTGACACACAGCATAGTTCAGCTGAGGGTGAAGACAGATCTAACATTTTCAGAGCAGCTTCCTCACTGCATTCATTCCAAATGTAGTATTCCTTCCCAGTGCTGAGTTCTGGGGAAAGTCTGAAGAAGTGATGCCACCAAGAAATCTCTCCACCCACATCCTCCAAGTCAATTTGGCATTCATTTTTAAAAAGTGTTTTAATGAATAAGGCAATTAATGAGCCTTCAGCCAGGAGGAAACCAAGATTACCTCATGGCTCAAGGATGCACGTGATCTGTTTCCATGCTACATCTGTCTTCATCATGAAATACAGAGATTGAAGAGGATTTAGTTATGTTAAAGTTAGTCTAACTGAGCTGAGGATCAATATTTACTATGCACATATCTAAAGGATTATCCAAAGGTGGCTGGGACCTGATTACTGCTGCAAGGATGTCAAAAGGAGTGGAGGCACAGCCAAAGTTTTGCATTCTCAGTGTGTATATATGGTGACATTGGAACTGAGGAAGTGTCTGAACTTTTATATTGTGCTAACGTGGGATTGGTCAGAAGGCTACATCAAGGCTACATTTAGGCATGACTAGCTTTTTTCTTTAAAAAGAAAGAAATCTGCTGCGATTTAGTTATGCACTGCTGCATGTATCATGCACAAAGTAATTAATGTATTAAAAGAAAATCAGAGGAGGATTACAGGAACCTGACAAGGGCTCCTGAATATCACACAGTACAAATCATACATGTGCCAGTTACCTTCAAATCTGTCCTCTTGCCTTTAGAGATAAAAGTATCTAACTGAAATATGCATCAAATCAGTTAGTCAAAACGACTGAAACATCTGATAACAAGCAATTGATATTTATGAATTTATTATACAAATAATCTGAATCTTAAAAAAAACCAACCCAACTAGATGTATTTGTTCAGGCCAAAATGTCTTCTATTCTATGCAGGAATAAAATCAGAATCTCTGGACTTCAAAGGTAATTGCTCTGGATTAACTCTCGTGCAAATATGAACAGGAATTGGCACCAATCTTAAAACTTTAATTGTGACAGTAACTCTAACAGATTTTGACTTTTTTTACCTATACCTAGTCATGGGGATTTATTTAATATATTTATATTTATATGCTGCACACTCCAAAGGTCTTTGCCTGACACGGTTTCCAGTAAAAAAATCTTTGAGAGCAGAGTGCAAGACAGAGACTGTTGTTCAAAGCAGAAGCACGACTATGCCATTAACTCTTCTGATCTTCCTTCTGATGTTGTATTGCTTGCAGAACATGTGAAACAGCCATAGTTTAGAATTCAAATGGGGGAGACAATTCTCCTTTTCAGTGCTTTTCAGTACCTCAGATCTGAATTACTTATGTGAACAACATCATCATGACTTCAATACAGATCCCATGCAGGTAAAATACGATGCACAATAATAGTCTCGTTCAGTTCAGGCGGTATTTGGATGTTTAGCATTTTCCCCCTTTTAATTTAGAATCAATATAAAGATCTTTAGCAGAAAAAAAGTTAAGATCAATCTTAAGTGGCTATCTGTCAACATGTGTAATGTTCCATGCGTTTTAAGCTACTTGGCTGACAAGACACCAGTCTCTATCTGAGGTGGGAACAACACTTAGTCTTTTTAAAATCATAAATGGGAACGTAGTGGGGTAGAGTCTTGTGATATGTGGTATCAGAAACACTGTTCTTTTAAAATATTTATGCTATTCCTCATTACTGTTCAGAATTTAACAGTGTCCATTTTAGCACTGCCAGAACGTTATTTGTTGTACGGCACACACGCTGGTAGTATGACAGTAGAACAAGCAGGTCCTGCAAGTGGCTCGGCTACGTCTCCTTCAAGCTCTGTCCAGGTGCCTTTCTCGGGACTGTAACAAATAGTGGAAGATTTGTAGGCTCCCTGTAATACAATACAGATATGATTAAACTTGCTGATACGCAACACTCCCGCCCAACATAGCTGACTTAAACGAGATAAGAACTGCTCCTTGATTGTTCAAGCAAGTGTAATCTTCATAACAACCACGTGCAAACAAGTCATACGGGTTCAGACACAATTTCCTATCTTTAAAATTGGGATGTATACCAGGACCTCAGTATGGATGGCTGACAGAACGATATCACATTTACGCTCACCCTGGGAGTACCAAAGCTATAGAACCAGATATCTGGAATAACTGAGAAGAAGCCCAATGCATCAGTTTTTTCTTCCTCCCAAAAGGTATGAAGTAGATTTCAAAGATTTATCTCCAAGGAGAGAACAGCCCTATTAAAGTAACGTCTTCTCTGGCATCCTCCAAACACAACGCTTCAGCGATGGAGCAATACCAATGTTTTGTGGGGAGGAGTCTAATCTTCTCTGTTCAGTATAGGGAGGAGCACTGTCCCCAGAATAACTGTAACTTTCCACTGGCGCAAAGGATTAACTATGCTGAAATTAAAGCATACACTAACTATGCTGAACTTAAAAGCATACAGTTGTATGTTCTGCACATACAGTACAGCATGCTAGAAATCTTTCTGATTGTTTTAAAATCCCACCCCTCACAATCACTGTAGTCCTGTTTTTAGAAGACATGACTACTGGCAATTATCTAAAACAAGTTATCAATTGGGTGCTGTCAAAGATTATGACAGTGATTTAATTAACATCCCTGAGAGAATGGCCACAGTGTGCTTCAGCTACCATTTTAGAGGAGCTGTTTACAGACAGCAGGTACATACCATGCTCCAGCTATAGCCTCCTACAAGGTAAATGCTGTCATCAAGGACTGCACATCCAGGACCACTACGACCCTCCAAAATGGGAGTCTGCAAAATATTCCACTGGTCTCCTTTTGGGTCATAGCATTCCACAAGCATGACATCAAGGTGGGAAAAACCTGTATCACACATTTACAGAATAATTTTAAACCATTTATTTATAAATTATTGTATGGTAATTCTTAAAACAAATCTCATCAAAAAACCTCTCGCAGCCAACCAATTTCTGTTCATGCCTGCGACCACCATTTTAAAGTAAAATACCATTGTGTTTTCCTTTTAAAATTATATTTATTGTATTGCTGATATGTTGTTACCTGCCCCTGAGGAAGGGTGGGCTATAAATATGAAAAACAAACAAACAAACAACACCTGTACTAGAATAAATGTATCCTTAAAAACTAGAGGCAAAACCAGCTCATCAAATCAGGATAATGTAGAGTTTGCTTTTTAAATCTCTGTCTCCTGGACCATCACCATCTCCACAACCTACAGCAATGACTTCCATTATAGCTGTCCCTTGCACTGAAAGACTGTTTTTGCTATTCTCTTTTATCACATGTATTTGTAGAAGGGATTTTAATCTTCCAGGGTCTGAGGCACAATCCAGGAAAAAAGCCCTCTTGGGCAATTAGTTTCAAATTAATGGAGCTGTGCTACCGTACCGTGGAGCTCCAATTCATTCCAATGAAGCTTGTGCAGGAGAATTTCTCAGGAGACTGTCCCCTTAACCTATTTAATATGTTACTATAAACATTTAAAATATGAGATATTTTTATGTTCTTGATTTCTGTGGCTGTGGGACTAGGTCAATAGAGAAAAATTAATACATGAACAGTATTGAAACAGTGTACAATGGTTGCTTTCAGCCACTCACCAAGCAGAGTCCATTTGCTCCATGGTTTACTGAGGAACTGGGGACAGTCTGAAATTAGCTGGTAGACAGCATGAGATCAGAGCACAACATTGAATGCACTTCGTGGCAGTGAAGGGGATGAAGCACAGATACTCCTCAACTAGCACAGTGTCTCTACCAAGCTGTCCAGCAGAGCTTTTCCAAATTGTGAGGGGTTTTCTCTACCTTAACCTCTAGATATATTTCAGAATATTTATAAGCTAAGCATTTCACAAATGAAATTGCTTGCATCTGCTCTGATTTGAGTACCATGAGTTCTGTAGGACTATATCAGAATAGATGAGTTTTGATTGTTGCCTTCTCATGATCTGGACAAGTTCCTTAGAGAGGTGAATCTTACCAACTCTGCTCAAACCTTACCTATCTTGGCTTATTACAGCATACTGATAGGGATGGGACGTTGAAGATGGGTGCTGTCATGGCTGCCTTGAAGAAGGAAACACGAGGCTACTCCTGAAGAAACCTCCTTTAGTCCCACACAAAATTAACAACTATTGATTTGTCACAAACATTTGTTTGTTTGTGAGAGACAGAGATGCTAGAACAAATAGAGAATCTGAAACTCCATTCTTTCCCAGATAAAAGTGGACTCATTTCAATCTGGGTTCTACCTTGGTTTTGCTACTGACACTGTTCTGATTGCCCTAAGAAAGATGTGGGAAGAGATTATGCTGATTCTCCAGTAGCTTTTGATACCGCTGAACATGGCAACCTTCTGTTGACTAACGTTGGCCTATTATGCATGGGTGTTTTCCCTCGCTTTCACCGTGCATGTCTGTTGGGTTTTCTTTGTTGTTCTGCATTGATTTTCTTCCCTTCAGTGCTCAGTTCGCTGGCCTTGTGCCACCAAATTGAACAAAATGGGGGGGGGGCTATTTTCCCAGGTTTTCTGAAAGTGCTTTTGTGACGATGTTTCACTTTTGAGTCAAAGGTAATTCAAGAGCATGCAGATTTCCTTGGATTTCCCTCCTGCCCTTTTGCTGTCCCTCGAAGGTCACTCCCCCGCCCACATCAAGGTCATTCCGCCCACACTGCACCTTCTGCCATCCTTCCACCAAGATCATGACCAGTGTGCAAGATCAAATAGGAGAATCACAGAGAAAACCACACAAAATCTGCAAGGAAGGGCAGGAAATTAGTGTTACTATGCAGCTGTGCTAGGGTAAAAAAATACCCCCCAATTTTTTCAGTTTAGTGGCACAAGACTAAAAAAGCTCTCCAGAGTTTCTGCCAGAGGACTCCTCCCTCATACAAATTGCAGCCCTGTGCAAAGCATAGTGGCGTTGCAGCTGAACTTTCACACACACACATTGCCAGTGACCACAGCTTGCAGTGCTGGTGTCATTAGGTTCTACCCTGCAGTCTGTACACAAAACATATTCCCCCATATTATAAGATCATGTGACTCCCATTTTTCACAGTGGCTGATAACACAGCAGAGAATCCCCTTTTTCTTTGTTGTTCTGCATTGATTTTCTTCCCTTCAGTGCTCAGTTCGCTGGCCTTGTGCCACCAAATTGAACAAAATGGGGGGGGGGCTATTTTCCCAGGTTTTCTGAAAGTGCTTTTGTGCCGATGTTTCGCTTCTGAGTCAAAGGTAATTCAAGAGCGTGCGGATTCCCTTGGATTTCCCCCCTGCCCTTTTGCTGTCCCTTGAAGGTCACTCCCCCACCCACATCAAGGTCATTCCGGCCACGCTGCACCTTCCGCCATCCTTCCACCAAGCTCACGACCAGTGTGCAAGATCAAATAGGAGAAGAGGCAAAAAACCCCACCCCTCCAGGATCCCTGGCCAAGTTCAACGAACTAACGCTAAATTGCATGCGCAAAACCTGAACCATGAAGATTTAAATGGAAGGTACTTGCTGGACACAGCTGCAATAGGGCAATTACATAATTAAAAAAAAAACCTTTTGGACACCACCCCTCACACGTCACAAGTGACATTCCTGATTTAGAAAACTGTGTTTTTTAAATCTCACACGTCACAAGTGACATTCCTGATTTAGAAAAGTGCATTTTTAAAATTGTAGCTGCAGAATAAATACACCGGAGGAAAAAGAATGGTAAGTCAGGCAAAGAATCCAAAGTCAAGATTAAAGGCTTACTGCTCTGAAAATCTGCATTAACATGTGTGTGCGTAATGGGCCATAGTTGTAAAGGGAACCAATTCTATCTGGCTGAAACATATCAGAAGATGGGGCTGGAGACAATATTCAGTCCCTTTGTATTTGTTATATAGGACTCTGCAACATTCTATTCTGTCCTGCATGACTTTCAACATCTAACATGAAACCACTGACAGTGGTTGTCCAGAGATGTGGAGGAAAATGTAAACCTGTAAACTAATGTTCAATCCAAAAAGACTGAAGTGTTGTTGGTTGACAGTATAGCTGACTAGGAAGTGAGAAATCAATCTGTTTTACATGGGGTGGCACTCCCTCTAAAGGAACAAGTTTGTAACTTGGGCATAATGTTAGATTTATGTCTAAACCTGGGCATTTAAGTTTCATTTGTGGCTAGTAGTGCCTTTAATTAGTTTAGGTTGGTTTGCTGTGTTCCTTCCCAGAAAGTAAGACTTGGCTAGTTAAATGTACCCCAAAATAAATAGTAATATAATCTGACATGTTCTGAGATCACTCTCTTCATTGAAGTAACTCCTATTTATTAACTGAGGCATGGGCAAGGTGATTTACAAATTTCTTGAGGAAAAAGCTATATGCTTTGGAAGACAGTTATTTGCACAGCACTCTGTAAAATAATAGCTACCCCTAATAAAGATAGTGATCTCAAAACATAGTGGAATATATAAAACATTTATTTTGGGTTCCTCTGTAGACTTTCCTCCTTTTTTGTTGACCGTGCTCTGACCAGATTAGATTTCTGTAACATACTCTTTGTAGGACTGTCATTTGGAAACTTCAGCTGATGCATAGTGCATCTGCAAGACAGTTAACAAGTATAGCATTATGGGAACTCATCTTGCCAGAATTTAAAAAAAATGCTATTGGCTAGATCATTGCTAGAGGCCCTGATCTCTGCCACCCTCCACTTCAGAAGCAAGGTACGTAACTGTAAGAGATAGGGGCTGATTTCGCACAAGGAGTTGTGCCGCCGTCGTTCCTTCCTTTGCCCCGTTTCCATTGGTCAATTCCCCACTTGAAGCCACGCGGCCGCATTTTGACCCACGGCTTCACCCAATTTTCCCCACGGTTTTGTGATCCTCAAAAAAACAGGATCATGAAGCTGTGGGGAAAATAGTGCAAAGCCGCGGGTCAAAATGCGGCCGAATGGCTTCAAGTGGGAAATTGACCAATGGAAATGGGGCAAAGGGAGGCATGACGGTGGAGCAGCTCCTTGTGCAAAATGAGCCAGGTTTTTTTTTCTATGGTGGCACTTCCTCTATAGAACCCCACCCCCCAAATGCCTATTTAGGTAGTACCTACTATTCTTTGAGTTCTAGGTTCCAGTGAAGGCATTATTTCCCCAGGTATTTGGTGACAATATGGATCTGTTAAATTATCATTCTTTAATGGCTGTTATGTTAACTGTTGCTATTATAATTATACAAGTAGAGACCTGCAAGAAACTTGTGGGATGGTTATCCTATTCCTCACACCTTTGCTTCCTCCTGCCTCCCCCTACCTCTCTCACACTCCTTTTCCCTTCTGCCCCCTTTTCTTATTCTCTGTCTCTCCTCCATGTATGTTATTTCCTTCCTCTGTCTGCCCCCTCACCATTCTCTTTGTTTTTCTGCCTCCCCATCTCATCACTTTCTTCCCCCCCACCCCATCTCTCTCTTTCTGCCCCCATCACTCTCCCAGCCACCTGCCTGCTTCTTCCCCCACCCCTCACAGCAGCAGCAGTGGTGGTAGTGCTCCCAGCCACCCACCTGCTTCCTCCCCCTCCCCACAACATCAGTGGCAGAGTCCAGGAATCACAATGGTTCTCCCAGCTACAGAGATCCATTCACCTTAGAGCTGCCAGCTCCAGGTTGGGAAATTCCTGGAGATTTGGGGGCAGAGCCTTGGGACAGTGAGGCTTGGGGAGGGAAGCAGTCTCAGCAGGGTATAATGCCATAGTAATGCCATAGACTCAGCCCTCCAAAGCAGCCATTTTATCCAGGGCAACTGATCTATGTTACCCAGACAACAGTTGTAATTCTGGGTGATCTCCAGCCCTCACCTGGAGGCTGGCAATGGTAGTTCTCGTGGAGGAAATGGCTGGTTTGGAGGGTCGGAGTCTATGGCATTATACCAGTCTGAAGTTCCTCCCCTCCTCAAACCCTACTTTCCCCAGGCTCCATCCCTCAAACGTCCAGGAATTTCCCAACCTGGAGCTGGCAACCTTATTTCCTTCACACCCAACAGCCACCCTACCTTTATCTGCCTCTCTGTCTTCAGCTTTCCATCTCCCCCCCCTCCCCCACAGCCTCTATCTAAGAAAATTACAGTCTTTCTCCACAGTGGGGACCAAAGCAGCTTGCATTATTCTCTCCTCCTTTTTATCTGCACAACAATCCTGTGAGGTTGGTTAGGCTGAAAGTATGTGACTGGTCCAAAAGTCATCACCCAGTCAGCTTCCACTGCAAGATGGGGATCTGAGCCTGGGTCTTGCAGACCCTACTTTGAAGCTCTAATTGCTGCACCACACTGGCTGTCATAGGGTAGCTGCTGCTGAAGAGTAGCAAGCAGTCAGGCCTAGTTGAATCATGCAAGTGAGGTGGTATCAAGTCACTTAGAGGGTGCTGCCAGGCCTACGAATGCCAGCCTCCAGGTGGGATCTGGGGATCCCCTGGAATTACTGCTCATCTCCAGACTACAAAGATAACTTCTCATGGAGGGTGGAGGATCCCATGGAGGATTTTCTGGAGGGTGGACTCTATGGCATTGAACCTCACTGAGGTCCCTGTCCTCCCCAGGGTCCACCCCCAATTCTCCAGGAGTTTCCCAGCCTGGATCTGGTAACCTTATCACCCCCCATCCTCTGCTGGTGGCCAGGGGGGACTTGGCAACCCTAGACTGCTGCCAGGACTAGGATTGCCAACCTCCTGGAGACCCCCCAGAATTACAACTGAACTCTAGACAGCGGAGATTTGTCTCCCTGTTTTGGAGGGTGGACTCTATGGCATTATACCCAGCTGAGGCCTCTCCCTTTCCCAAACCCAGCCCTCCTTAGAGTCCACCAGAGAATCTCAAGGAATTCCCCAGTCTGGCACCGGTAATTCTAGTCAGGCCTGGCCCCAAGGTCCCCTCTCTGAAAGGCCAAAATAGGCCTGGGAAGGGCCCTTCCCCATCCCCCTGCCTTTTACTGACAGAACTAGTTAGAAGCCTCCCCCTTAAACATTCTAATCTCTCACTGTGGATGCCTGGAGTAGATCCCTGCGGAGGCCATTTCAAAAGGTATTGGGGGGAATTTAACCCTCCCTGAGGTTTTTTTTTTAAACTTTTTAGATTTTTCTGAAGACCCAGGGAGTCCCCTGAATCGGCAGAGAAAGCAGTTGGGGGAGAGTGAGACCTCTGTTGGTGGAAATAAGTATCTGCATGAAATGGGGACTTTGGCTATTAGTATATAGATTTTGTTCCATATAAATATGTAAGAATTTATTTGAAATTTTATAAATAGTATTAGGTCTATGTTTTTACTGATTTTATTGTTTCCCCCCTAGTTTTGTAAAGGATCTGAATAACATCCATGTAGCAGCTTAAAATTGTTTGAAATAAATAAGATGTAATATGGGTCCAGTATCAAGAATGAGAAACTATCAAAGACTTAGCTGTAGCAGGTAGACTATTAAGAAGAAAAAGCATTGCAGTCAAACAGAGTTTGCACAATAAGATCCCTTTGAAAAGGTCCCTTTAATTTTTAGTGTTGACATTTGCAATGTTTAAGACAAATAATGGGTTTAAAATATTAAATATTTAAGGGATTTCCCTCTTAAATCTGGGAGATGTTTATTAACAGAGCTCTGGGTGCAGCTTCCTTCTTAGCTGCATATCTTATCTGGAAAGATAATTTATGGGGGGAAAAATTGAGGCAAAAAATAATCTGTTTGTTATAGTGAATTCATGGTTTCTGAGTAATAGAAGTTCCAATCTATATGATCTAAAGCATTCATTATTCATTTATTTAATGTACTGTTATATATATTGTTTTAAATACTAGCTGAAGCATCATGCTATAATGTGTGGCAGGGTTTTTAACTTAGTTAACTATGACTAGCCAACAAAAATTGTGTTTATCAAAACAGACAAGACATTACTTCTTTCTGCTATTAAGAATGTGACCTTTTAAATGATTTCCTCCAATTGCATACAGTCGATCATTCATTACAGCCAGTGTATGGATGGCTCTCTTTGTGTTCATGTCTTGTTTTCTTGCCCAGACATCCATAACAGGATCATAGCAGTACAGCCAGGGGACATATTCACCATTGTGAACTCCTCCTACAAATAAAAAAGTATTTTCATTCATTCAGCTGAAGATACCACCTTAGAAGAAAAATTTAGTGGGTTTTGAGATCAAGAGAACTACTTGCCTGAAATATAGATTTTGCCATTATGTACAGCTCCTGCATGTGCTGCTAAAGGCTGTGGTAGGGAAGATACATAACGCCATTCATTTGTCTCTAAATTATAGCACTCCACACTAGACAAGTACCCACTTTCATTTCTTCCACCAATCACATACAAGTTTTTTTCAAGTCGACAGGCATAAAAACTGGCTCTCCTGAAGAAAAAAACAAAAACAAAATTGATCAGTTAGTTTCTATTAACCAAAATTCATTCTGTCATTCTGTTTTATGGAACAAGTCAGCTGTTAGGTTCATTTGCTTACTCATTTATTCCTGAGGAACCAGACTGTATTTCTCCCAGAGAGCTGCATTCCCTTTTTTCCCTTGGTATCATCCCAGTTTTTAACATTGCTCATTTGTACCGATGTCTGCATTTCTATTGCAATTATAACACAACCTTTTCAGGTATGAACTGATATAGCCATTGTCTCATCTATTTTGGAGATGTGATGTAACTGGTGATTCTGTGTCTCAATTACCTCCATTACTGAAGGATGATAGGGAAATGGCTGAGAAACTGAATGAATTTTTTGCCTCTGTCTTCACTGTGGAAGATGAGAAGTGCTTGCCCACTCCAGAACTGCTGATTTTGAGAGGGGTGTTGGAAGACCTGAGTCAGATTGAGGTGACGAGAGAGGAGGTCCTATGACTGATAGACAACTTAAAAACTGATATATCACTAGGCCCGGATGGCATACATCCGAGAGTTCTGAAAGAACTCAAATGTGAACTCGTGGATCTCCTGACAAAAATATGTAATATTTCATTAAAATCTGCCTCCATTCCTGAAGACTGGAAGGTAGCTAATGTCACCCCCATCTTTAAAATGGGTTCCAGAGGAGATTCGGGAAATTACAGGCCAGTCAGTCTGACTTCCATACAGGGTAAGTTGGTGGAAACTGTTATTAAGGAAAGAATTAGTAGGCACACTGATGAACAAAAACTATTGAGGCAGACTCAGCATGGGTTCTGTAAGGGAAGATCTTGTCTCACTAACCTGTTAGTGTTCTTTGAGGGGGTGAACAAACATGTGGACACGGGGGACCCAGTAGATGTCATTTACCTCATCTTCCAGAAAGCTTTTGGTAAAGTTCCTCATCAAAGGCTCCTAAGTAAGCTCAATAGTCATGGGATAAAAGGACAAGTCCTCTTGAGGATCAAAAACTGGCTAGTTAATAGGAAACAGAGAGTGAGTATAAATGGGCAATTTTCACAGTGGAGGGTGGTAAGCAGTGGGGTACCACAGGGATCAGTACTGGGTCTGATGCTTTTTAACTTGTTCATTAATGATTTGGAGTTGGGAGTAAGCAATGAAGTGGCTATATTTGCGGATGACGCAAAATTGTTTAGGGTGGTGAAAACCAGGGAGTATCGTGAGGCACTCCAAAGGGATCTGTCGAGGATGGGCGAGTGGGCATCAACGTGGCAAATGGGGTTCAATGTGGCCAAGTGCAAAGTGATGCACATTGGGGCCAAAAATCCTAACTATAAATACACATTCATGGGGTTCGAACTGGCAGAGACTGACCAAGAGAGAGATCTTGGAGTCGTAGTAGATAACTTAATGAAAATATTGAAACTATGTGCAACTGCAATAAAAAAGGCCAACGCTATGCTGGGGATTATTAGGAAGGGAATTGAAAACAAATCAGCCAGTATCATAATGCCCCTGTATAAATAGATGGTGTGACCTCATATGGAATACTCTGTACAGTTCTGGACACCACACCTCAGAAAGGATATTATAGCACTGGAAAAAGTGTAGAAAAGGGCAACTAGAATGATCAAATGGTTGGAACAATTTCCCTATGAAAAAAGGTTAAAGCGCTTGGGGCTCTTTAGCTTGGAGAAATGGCGGCTGAGGGGTGACATAATCGAGGTTTACAAGATTATGCATGGGATAGAGCAGGTAGAGAAAGAAGTACTTTTCTCCCTTTCTCACAATACAAGAACTCGTGGGCACTCAATGAAATTGCTGAGCAGTCGGGTTAGAACGGATAAAAGGAAGTCCTTCTTCACCCTAAGAGCGATTAACATATGGAATTCAGTGCCAAGGGAGGTGGTGGCATCTACAAGCATGGATAGCGTCAAGAGAAAATTAGATAAAGATATGGAGCAGAGGTCCATCAGTGGCTATTAGCCACAAGATATCAACTCTTAGTCTGGGTCAAGTGATGCACTGTATTCTTGGTGTTTGGGGGGAACAACAGTGGGAGGGCTTCTAGTGTCCTGACCCCACTGCTGGACCTCCTGATGGCACCTGGTATTTTTGGCCGCTACGTGACAGAGTGTTGGACTGGATGGGCCATTGGCCTGATCCAACACTGGCTTCTCTTATGTTCTTATTAAACAATATATCATTTCAGATGAGTTACACGCTCATACTCTACAATGGTGTCCAGTTTGTTTCTGACACCATCTTCCTTTTAATTAAAAAACAAACTGTTCAAAACTAGAGTGCAAATACACATACCCTTTGAAGCCTGCCCCCCTGCCTCCAGCACAAGAGATATAGTGGTACAAGGAGCACTTTATGGTGAAAGGAATGGACAAATGACATTTTCTAAAGAACAGAACAATATTCACTGCATGAATACTGTATAAGTAGCACTAAACAGGTCATGTACTAGGAGTGTTTTAAGAAACCTTGCTTAATTGTGTACCATACCTTCATTTCTTGATCTCCCTTAATGAATGGCAAAGTGCCTCTTCTGCTGCACCAAGCAACGGCTTTGAATCTTGTTCAGTCATGCCAGTTCCCTCTAAGCTGAGTTAGTGTAAGCTAGCTCACAGTTTTTTAGCCCCCAGCTCACACATTTTTGTCTGAGCTCAGGAAGGATGGCTCCAGAGCAAACTAATTTATGCAGTAGCCAAATCGCTTGCTCACAACTTAAATGCCAGTAGCTCACAAAGTAGAATTTTTGCTCACAAGACTCCACAGCTTAGACAGAGCATTTGTCAGCCCTGAAGAGGGTTGCAGTGAACACACATAGGGACTCACAAGCAAGATCTGTTTTCTTTAATGTAAAAAAAATGCTCCTGAAGATTGAGAGTTTTCTGTTCATATAAACATCTCTGTGTCCATTGTACAGAAAGCATTCTCCTGTGTGGTGATGCTACGCAGTCCTTCAGAAAAATAATTTTCTGGTATTCCCAATTAATACACACAAACAGACCAGGTGAGACTACAGTTTACTTTAAAAAGTATGTGCTGATTTTACTGCCACTGAAGGATATAAAAAGAGGCTCATTAATATTTGGGACATTCAGTACTACAGAAAGGATATAACAACTCAGTAAGACAAAGTAAAAAATGGGATAGATAATGTAACAATAATAAATTATCTTGACATTCGCTTTCTTTATGGTCCTTCAAGGGTCATTGTTCCCAATTTACTAAGAGAACCACATCATCAGATTTTTTTCCCTTCAATTATCATTTTTTTCTTCTTTCTGCACTACTGCAAATAGAACAACTTTCCTTGCATTACATTCTTGCCCTCCAACAAGGGTTTATCTGGCTAACTCTCAACAAAGTCTCATCTGTCTTCTGAGTTCCAAGTGCAAAGCACACCCATAATGGTTAAGGAAAAAAATCCAAGTGTGGCTATGAAAACTCTAAGAAGATCAGGAGTTAAAGGAGGGCTAGGAGTACCTCATATTACTACATATTATAAGGACGTTAGGCTAGCTGAAATGATTGAATGGTACAGATGTGATAAAGACCAATATTTTGAAACTTTTCTTAAAGATAGTTTAAAATTGAAAGCTCTAATTTGGTATGATAACAGAAAATTGACTTGGAATAATTCCACTATCTATTTAGTATTGGCAGTTTGGTATAAGTTAAAGGGTAGCTTTAGTCTGAGTTTGTCACCGATGACATCAGTATTCTTTAATGAACAGATACAAGATACAGGAAATATGCAGTTTTAAGATCTAAAACATCTTTTGAATTATTGTTCATTGGTAACGTCAAAGATGCTCTTGCATTGTTGTATTCTTGGCTAATTAATATGGACAGTAATCCATTGAGCTATACTAGAAAATAGGAAAAGGATTTGCAAATTAAAATATAAAAGAGGAATGGGGTTAATTTTGGGAAAGAGCTGTTCTTAGAATACTGTAATCTAGTCTTAAAGAAAACATCTATAAATTACTTCTTCAATGGTACCTAGCTCCCCATAAATTAGTAGGGATGGGCATGAACCTAAAAAAGGCACTTTGGTTCAAGGCACCCTTGAACCAAACAGGCCCCACCCAAACCGAACCGGTAAGTCTGGTTCCCTCTTTCTCCCGGCCACAGCAAGCCACAGCTGGAAGAAAGAGGGGTGGGTGGGCCTTCCGCCTTTTCCCCAGCTGCAGCTCAGGATCACCCAGGAAAGGATTTCCTTCCCTTTCTCCTGGCCACAGCTCGCTGCAGCTGGGAGAAAGGGGGTGGGATCACCCTGGAAAGGGCTTCATTTAACCCTTTGGTTTTGCTCCCCCCCTTTGAAGGACCCCACACCACTCAGCTGTTAGGTTTAAACGACTGGCCCAGAGAAGCCGAACTGGCCAAAAGTTCAGTAAAAGTTTGGGGAATGTGCTTTCCCCGAACATTGGTTCCCAACCTCCAAACTCGCCCCAGTTCAGCCCAAATTTTGGCTTGTGAGTCAGTTGGTACCCATCCTTATAAATTAACCCTTATATATAGTACAACAGAGGATAAAAGTTGGAAATGTAATAGTTCCTCTGCAGATGTGTTCCATATTTTCTGGTCTTGCCCTAAGATTCAAACATTTTGGAAGACTGTGGTAAATTACATTATTAAATGCTGGGTAGGGAAATACTTTTTGAAACAAAATTAATACTTCTGGGTTTTTTGAGTGGTTATGTAGATGATTCAGATTTGGAATTAGTACTAAGTTTATTTACAGCAGCAAGGCTGCTTACTGCACTAAACTGGAAAAAGAGTCTCCAACTATCAGTGAATGGTTTAATAAGATTTGGCGTATTGCACTATTATCTAAATTAACATACTATCAAAGGGCTAGTAGGGTCAGCTTTATGGAACCTGATTTATTTATTAAATTTGTTAAGATATAAAGGTAAACGTTTCCCTTGCTCGAAAGCCATTTGAATCCGACTCTAGGGTGCGGTGCTCATCTCTGTTTCC